GCTAAATCTGAACGTCGAATTGCACCTTCCACTTTGAGATTGTCTTTCACAAATAGAGGTGCGTTCGAAGGAATCCATGAATATCGCAGCACCATGACTTTTCCAGATGACTGTGCCCATCAAGTTCTTTGTGATTACAGTGTTTCTCCTGCAAGTCTCCCACTCTGTTACTCAGGTATTTCTTCTTCGTGCTTAACCAACTGAACACAGCATCCTGCATCTTAAATTGATGCACAGAATATTTTTTTTCCCTAAATATAATATTTACAGACCACATGCAACCAAATAACTCAACCAGATTCGTGCTTCAGAAATCACAGGATGCGTGACGCACATAACAGAACCACTTAGGGTCAATTCTGATACATTTATGTTCCAAATCTATCTTGAAGACATGAGGTATGCTTCGAAATCAGTTTATGTTTTATACGTTTGAATGGAAATTGGTCTGTATTAACACTCATTAGTTGTCTTCCAACTTCATAGTGGCAATAAAGGACTTGTGAGCTACATCGGAACGCGGATTAAACAATTCATTCATAGTGCTGATGGAAGCGAGGTGCATTATCCTCTGATCATTACAGCAACAGGCCTCACCCGAAATGTCCACGAATTCACCCATATTCCGCCGTTTTGTTTCGTGACATCTCCTGGGACCCGTCTCATTGTGCAACCATACAATGAAACGACACATCTTTTAATGAACAGGTATGCTGTACTATTTGCATCTTTCTTTTCATTATATGCATCTTCTTCTACCAGTTAGCTAATTGAACACAACAAACCTACTAGGTTCTTTCATAACAGATTGCCAGTGGACATCATTGACTACAGCTCGAAGGAGCGCCTTGGATACCTTCGGCGCAAGATTCCTCCCAGAATTTCATTGCTGGAATTGAAGACCAAAGTTCCATTAGGAGAAATGGAAACTGAGGTGACTTTCCTTACCTTCTTTGTGCAACTGTAGATTGTTAAGCAAGTATATATTAAAATTATCAAGCATCCTCAGGTGGCCTTCCAACAAAATAAATGTTATTAGTTACTCACAAAAACTGGATTTGACATTTTTCCTAATTCAATCCGTGTGACAGATACTCTATCGATGCAAATTGAAGATACTTAAGTTCCATCTTGGTTCTGAGACCTGCAAAACTTTTCCTGAAGACACTGAGTATTTCCAAACTACGACTACTTTTCTTTTCCTTATTGTTAAGTAACAATGCATTGCTACCACATCTCTAATCTACGTATACGTTTAGATTGTACTACGAATTGCAGGCTGAATGCGAATCAGGAAATCACACCGCAACAATAGTTCTGAATCATCAACCTGCTCTTGCTCTAATCCGTATGCCACCGCTCGAGTTCCAAATGATGCCATATGACGAGAGAGTTGAGTTGCTCAAAACATTCTGCAATGTTCAGCTAATGGCAGAACTGTACATCGTGGGATCAGAAGATTCAGATGAACCACACATCCGCATGTTTGCGATTTGGGATTCAAAAGCATTTCAGCCATTGCGAGAACTTAAATTGCGCATCTGACCGAAGTCCTTACATTGCAGTCAAAGAAGGTACATTCCTTCCTACTTTTGTTTTGCATTCAGTGGAACATTAGTGTTCGTGGGCACAACCATTTTTTGCGCACTAATAAATACCCACATGTCTGTTCTTATTGCAGCTCTTAGGACTAAGGAACGAATTGGGTTGTTGGCTGAGGAAGGATCAAAGTAACGCAGGACCAGAAGACATGGATTGCAACATTATTAGTTAATTCGATCTTTTGAGAATTGGAATAGTCCATCTTTATTTCCATTCTGAACATAAACTGTTCTGGTACGTTGTGTATGGTAGCTACCCTTTAAGCTCAACCATCCAAATAGTTCAGATCTAAACAATGTACTTGGCAATGCATGTTCGTATTTTATTCGTCTTAGTTATGCCCTTTCTGCAGTTCCTTTGTTTTACATGTGTTGGAGTGTTCTGTCTTCACTCTTGTGTCGTTACTGTTCTGGTATATTAGATCTCAAGATAATTACAAATACCATTAACCACCCCTTATTCGCTATCTACAGTGTACTGTGTTCCTAATGTAACCTCCTCTAATTCGACTAAAATCGGTCATTCCCTTCTAGCCTCCAGTGTTAGTATGTTTCCCCCAATTGCTCTACTGTTGCCTCAGTTGAAAAGTAATAGATTCCCTTCACACCACTTGTCTTTTAGTCTTTTCTTCTACGACCATTGTTTATTGTATTTTGGATCATTTTGGGCCGCAGAAACACTGAACAGTTCGAGAGAAAGTTTATGTGTTTTGTTGTTTTATTCAACGTTTAGGAAGATCCCTGCTCTTATCTCACCTTTCATCCTCTCTCATCAACTTTACTCTTCTTCCGCTATTTCCTCACTAGAATCCTAAATCAGCATACTGTTCCTGTTCAACCTTCCTTCTGGTGTCATCCGGTTCGATCTTCGTCCCCAATTCCCTCACAAAAGAGACATGTTTCCGCAAAAGCTGCTTCTGGATTTGAATGGAACTGAAGGGCCAGAAGCTGCTCTCAAGATACGACTCTTGCATGTTTGGGGTTATTGCAATTCAGAAAATCCATCCATTCTCTCACAGTTTTGCAGTCTTTGGACCGATTCCAAGGTAATATAGCATTTCCTTTAACGTTTTTTGTTGCAATTGCCAGTGCAAATTGTGCTCTTCGGTCATTTCTCTTGCTTCGCCTCCTCCCTGTTTAACAGGGAACCTTAATCCAGGCCATCGCGACACCACATTTAGGTCACCGATTTGGCCCACACCTGCAACTAGGGTGTGTCTACTTAGTTACTGGATTCCAGCTGGCAAAACCACAGCCACTGTGCCGCCCTTGCTCCCATAGATTTAGTTTGGTCCTTTCTCAGGGAACCATATTTGAGGATGTAACCATGTTGTCACCGGGTTTCTGTGCTGATTCATTTGAGTTTTTTCACTTCAGTTCCTTGCACGGCTTACCTCGCTCAACAAACCAGCTCATAGGTTGACCTGGCAATTACTGTAATCTCATCACATATACTTCACTTGGTTTTTTGCACTAATGAATTGACGCTCTTGTAACACCTCTTCAAATGTAGATGTTGTTGGCAGAGTTGTTTCTGTGAGCGGGTTATCCTGTTCGGCAACATCCACTGGTGCTATTATTAGGCGGAAACTGGTCATACAGAACGAAAGGTTTTCAATGCAATGCGATTGTGTACCTTTCCATTTGTAGTTGATTAAACGTAATTCCAATCATCTCCGTCTAGCCTGCACTTGACTATTGCAGAAATATACGTGTTAACATCACCATATGTGGCGATGTTGCTCGATCACTAGATGGAGAAGAACTAGCATACCTTGGCCGCATGGGTTCTGTTATACTTGGTGTATGCAGTCTTCAAGTTACTGACGCCACAACAGGTTTACACTGCACCTTTATCCCTCACAGTTAATGCTATTGCTAATCCATTCTACGACGACTCACATCTCCTTTCCTACTTTTACCAAAGGCGGCATTTTTTTAACCAGCACCTCCGCTACACGGTTTGTTTTGGAGCCATCTTCTGAATTGGCAAATGTTTTGCGTGCTACGTAAGTCTCTTACAAGATGCCGCTTTTAGTAATTTACTTTCCGTTTATCTCATATACTTTCGAAATTGTAGTGCTACTGGTGGTACAGATACGATCCGATATTATCCTCCATGCTTTTCCACTTATTTTGAAGAGGAAATGTTTCGAGCTGACAGTACCAAGACAATTATGGACCTCATCCGCCTTTCCAGAAATCCAATGGTTGACGTGCGTTCTTTTGTCATAACTTTTACTGTCACAGCACTGTGTCTTATTACTTCATGCCAGGTTAAAGCATAATCTGCACTATTAATGTAGCCAGCCATTATTTTCATGCTTCAAAATTTATTCTGCCTCACCACTAGATGGATCTGTTTTTCCAGTCCCTTTTCCCAGTAAACTAACAAATTTCTTGCCTGCTTAGCTAAATTTTCTCACCAGTTTTGTTTACCTACAGGCTACCCAGTACTATTGTTTGGCGCAAGTCCTCTCCACTGAGTCTTCAAGATCATGGTTCTACTTAGGATGTGCCTTTTGCTTTAAGACAGCTAGGGAATTTCCTGGCACTGGTGATTTTTTTTGTGAAGAACATGGCCAACTAAAGGCTGAAGAAACCGAACATTGGTTAGTTTAAAATCCACCTTTTCCCCATCAGTAAAGTGGGCACGCCCAATTCAACCCTGAAATTTTAATACATTTTTACAGCTACAAAATTCATTTGGCTGTCGGAGACACTACTGGTTCGGCGTGCTTCGTCGCACTTGGAAAGACCGCTGAATCTTTGCTTGGAGTTACAGCAAACGAACTATTGTTGCAGCATCCCCACCACCATGGCCATTTCCCTCCGGCAATTGTGGCCATGAATGGATGTTGGTTTTCGTTTTGTGTGCAACTCCCTAAACCTGGATATCTGGCTCAGACTCCTCTGGAGTTTACTATACTTTCTGCATTCGACCGCAGCCAGCTTTAACAATAAACTAATGAAAAAGTCAACGCTTGCGCAGAAAGTCATTGTGCTCGACCGTTGTCTTACCTATATTATCCCAGTATTTAGCAATATTTGCACTTCAACATCAACAGACTTATGTATCCGCGATGTACGTACAAACTATTCACATGCACAATGACTCCGCTTTTTCGCTTACAACTCTCCATTCCCACAATATAGTCTCCCCGCCGCAGAGCGCGGGCTTCTTTACTAGTATATATAATATACATACACCACAACTTCACATCAAACGTGATTTGAAACATGACATTTGATGCCTTGGAATCAAGGATTCAAGAGATAGGCAAACATGTTAAACCATTAATGAATCAGTGTGTCACAATGAAAGAAGCATTTCACACAATGCAAAAGCATATATACATTTGACAGAAATCAATGGGTCTGCCTACAATATCATTCAATAATGCAGCTTTAAATTTTTTTGGTAGAAAATAGTGCAACTTATTTTGATGATGATCATTGGCCATATTGATGGGCATAAGAAGGTAGAGAGAAATCAACTGCATACAACCATTTACACATTCAGAGAAGCAACTAGCGAGTGCCTTCTTTCTTACCAGTCGATTTTCCTCGGAAGAAGTCACTGGCGTTGCTGGACGACAGTTTCCACCACCAGAAGCGTTGAAACAGAACTGGTATTTTTAATTCTCGAGCAACAGTTTCCAGGATAAAGAATAAAACTACATAACTTGATCTCATGGCAAACTGCCTGAAACTATACACAAAGAGTCAGAGCCAGCATATCCAATAACCTAAAGCTGAGCATCATATGCATACCTTGAAGAGTTTGAAACACTAACAGGTTTGGAACACGAAAGCTCGTGACTTTGTCATGATCTGCGAGATCAAAGTACCTGGTTTTCCCAATGTCATTCCGGATATCTTCATCTCTTACAACCTAATCATTGAAACCCAATCATATGGTACTAAAATGTCAGATAGCTAGTTACACGGAGCAATGAAGAGCAACAATAGAGAGATTGCTAATTGATAAACCTTAATTATCATGTACTGTTGTTCCTCCGTCGCGTCACTCGTTACCTCTTCGGTTTTCAACCTCTTCTGCAAAAAAAAAAAGGCTATCAGTAACTTTCTTGTGATAAGCAAGCAAGCAAAGCATGTCAAGACAAATAAACAAGAGAAGAATCAACGTCATTGGGTTGTTACACTTGATCATCCACTTCAAATAGACCCAAACCAGCATCACGGCTAAGGTTTAGTCATGTCAGGAAGCGATTCAAGACACGAAGTTGAGCCGACGCCGAGCCCTAACTAAGTGATATTCTCCACAAATGGAAAGGAGGACAGTCAGATTCGAGCTAGGATCACACCTAAATGAAGCAAATGGGGGGAGAATGTGTTTACTAATGAGCCATGCCCACAAAAAAAAATTTCACCCAAATGTTACAAAAAAAATCTTCAGCTTCTTCATCGCATTGTCCCAGAAGGGACTCGAGCTCCTTTCACTTACCAACAACAATATAGTTCCAAGGAGAAGGACAAAATCGCAAATGAAAACGAAGCAAAGACGAGTGAGTCGGGTATTCAGTGAGGAACTTACTTGCTGATTTCCTGAACATGCCATCGTCTTCTTCTTCAGCCTTTGCGACTGACTGACTCTCTTTCACTTGTTTGCGCGCCGGGACGCTCAAGCAACAAACAGGTAAGAAGCTGCCAACCGTTATGCTAATGGTTCGGTTTTAGGGTCCATGCCTGGTTGTCTTCCATGATCGGTTAACCGTAACCGAACCGGCCAGGGTACTAAGCCGCGCGAAATTATTGCCGGTTTGCCACCATTTTTATTTTTGAAGTTGAAGGGCATTTTTTACCCCCAAAAGCAAAGAAAGTGAAAGAGGAATCAATAACCAATTCACAGAAGGATGTGGGGATGGCAAAATGCTTCAATTTGTTCTAATTGGTTAAGATTAATTTCACATTAAATAAATTATTAGGAATATAAATAAAACTCGAACTCAGATATTACGAATAATGAGTAAATATGATTTTCTTGTTATCCAATTATATATGCACATGCACTTTTCTCTTATGAATCTGTTTTCTTTTCTTTTCTTCTCTTAACATATTCAACATTCATACTTCATAATAACATTTTATGAAGTTTAGAATTGGTGATTCATCATTTGTACTTTTCGGCTTATCTGATGTGAATATGCTCATAACTCATAAGAAAATAGTTGACATAAATGAAAGTTGGTATTCATGATTATAATGAATACGAGATTACAGGTATAGATAAAACCCGATTGGTTACGAGATTACGGGTTGAGACGTCTTCTCAGATTCCTAGAATGCATTACAAATCTTCTGATCCTCTGTACAAAAGAAAATACCAGCATGCTGGATGCAACATTCCTCAAACACTTCCATCGCTATAATTAAAATCAATTATTCCAAAATTTAATAATACAATAGCTAGTATAGGACTAGATAATCCAAGAAAGATGCTCAACTGTTAACTGGAAAACGAAAGAACCAAAATTGAAAGAAGACACTTGTAGATGAAATCCACCCGATATCACATTCATAAATAGACCTTGCCAAAACAAGAAAAGCGAGCTTAACTGATTACAAAGGTTACATAAAGGCCAGGATGGCCATGGGAGAAGAAAACAATACCATTGTGTTCCTCGCAGCTTTGTTCTCTCTTTTCTCTGTCACCGCCGCCAATCATGTCCATAGTCATGCCGCCAATCATGCCCATTGTCATGCCGCCATTCATGTCCATTGTCATGCCGCCATCTCTGATCGTAACTACCCGGGCTGTGCCCATATTCACCGCCGGGGTTCCCAAGCCTATCATCCAGATACCTGTGCTGCGGCTGTGGCTGATGATGATGATATGGCGGGGGACCGCCCTGAAATCTCGAAGGCCCAGGACGCTGCTGATACATCATCCTCTGGGCTGGTGGAGCTGACGAATAGTGACTCGATGACGCCGTGTGCAACATATGGTTCCTATATGGAGGCGGCGTCGAGGGAAGTGGCTCCGGATAATGATGATGGTGGTGATGATGCCTCTGAGGGTTCCAGTGATGAGGGTAATCCCCCGGATGCTCAGCAGCCCATCCACCTCTCTGCATTGAAACAGGAGGTGGGTTCTGAAGATGCTGATGATGCCTTTGGGGATGTGAGTTGGAGTGATTCTGCAGGTGCTCCGTAGCCCACCCACCTCTCTGTTTCGGCTTCTTCGGTGTTGAAGGGTGTGTTTCCAGAGATTTTGGGGCTTTATTTTTCGACTTTTTTGGTGTTGGAGGAAGGTTTGCTTCAAGAGATTTTGGGGGTTGGCGTTTTGACTTTTTTGGCGTCGAAGAGTGTGTTTCGATAGATTTTGTTTTACTCTTCTTCCGAGATTTACCACCGAGGTTGGGAGGAGCAGATTTCTGCCCCGAGATCTTCTTCTCCTTGAGAGGAGCTGAAAAATCAAGAATCCGCTTGCCAGTCTGAAAAAAACCCACATACACAAACAAAAAAGGCAAAAAGCAACACTCAAGACGCCGTTAACCAATTCCAAGTGACTAGAGCAGGGGTTTCAATGAAGATTCAAGCATACCTTGCCAGGAGTAGGGCACTCACGGGCAAAATGTCCCCCTTCGCCACATCTGTAGCATGTACTGGGTGATGCTGCCGTAGTAGCAGCACCGATACTAGTTGCTTCTTCAGTTACCCTTGCACAGTCCTGTGAGATAAAACCGGTCATGCATCTTATGGTATATAAAGTAACGAACCGTAGACAATTCAAGTATACTGAAAATGAAAGCATCAGAGGATCAACAGAGCACAAGTAACCCTAAAGGAGTTGAAGGGAAAGCGCAGAAAAATCACCAGAGTATCAGGAAATTATATTCGTTACAGCGTTCACTACAATATAATTCACGATAAACCATGTGCTGTGTCCGGAACAGATGGTTGTGTGTTTGAAGGAGGTGGTACACATTCTTATAAACCAATCAAAATAATGAAAGGTTGGTACAGGGACAAACCCGAAAGAGTGAAAAAGAGAAGGAAAACATTCTTACATAAAAGAGAAAAAAGGCAAGCATTGAGAACTTACAATGCCATTATGACCGACTGCACCGCATCTGTAGCAGGAAACTTCATTTTCTCCCTCGTGAACATAATTAACGCAACATAAATGGCCAAAGCTCTTGCAAACGTAGCATTGTATATCCTGAAGTTATAAGCAGAAGGGGAACAATTTATTTTAATCCACAGCCAAAGGAGGATCGATCTTGAGTAACCACCAAGAGAGATTAAAAGAATGACAACAATCAAGTGCATAGATCAGTCATTAAAAGACATCTGAGGACCAAAAATGCAACCTGAAGATCCTCTTTGTCATAACTTTTCCGGCACGTGAACATTTCATGTCCGGATTCTCCACATTTGAGACAAATTCTGGAACTCTGAAAGCTACCCTTGTGTTTCTCAGGACAATTCCTTGCGCGATGTCCACGAGTTTTGCAAATATAGCATTCCCCACCCTATGAAAACATAAACAAGTACCATTTAGGTGGAAAGCAAACACAACAAATTAGATACTGAAGCATATTCATAAAGAACCCAATAAGCTTCCCGGTCTCTAAATTTAAGAAAAAATGGACGACAAACACAATCATTCACGTATCAGACTAGTTGCAAACCTTGTTACATTGCTTCGCAACATGATCCAAACTCCCGCACATAGTGCACGGCTTCCGCTTCCTAGGTGCTGAACAGTTCACTGCCATGTGACCTTCCTCCCCACAGTTATAGCAACTTGGCCAGCTGACAGTATCTGGAGGATCAAAGTACCTCGGTCCACGCTGACAGAAGAAATAGAACAGAATTGTATTGCTTTATTTCCTATCCCACCATTTATGGTTTCAAACTATTCCAAACATGTAATGTCAACTCACAAGAAGCTTTCTCAGGACGATGTTATCTGATATCTCCACAGAATCTGGATCCACAGTTACAACTACTCCTGCATCCTCAACTGCCTCCGTCTTCCCAATCTCATCCCCTTCCGTAACTGATTCCTTCTTCTCTTCTTCATCTATGATGATAACCTAATGCAGACGACATTCAAGTAATTCAAAGTCATACAATGGAAGTTGAGAACAAGTCCTCAAAGTTCAAACCACCTCCCAAATGAATTGTACAGCACTCAGCCAAAGTGACAGGAAAAATAGAACTTACAGGCTGCTCTCCACCTTCCTTTCTTCTAACCTTCTTCTTCTTCTTTAGCTTCTTCTTCACAACCCCATCAGGACCAGTAACAATCGCATAGGTTTCCAGTGACGAAGACGACGATAGCTCCGCTGTGCCATCGCCGCCGTTACTGCCACCGACAGCAGCACCGGCATCGCCATCCGAGCTGCGACCGTTGCTCAAATCAACGGCGCCAATCTCTTCGGCGTCCACCTTGGTCCCGCGCTTGGAAAGAGCTTTCTCAACGATCTTCAGGCTCAGATCCTCGTTGGCCTCCTTGTCATCTTCGTCGTCGGTGACGCTCAAGTCCACCACAAGCTTTGGCTCGTTCTGCGTCTCCTCAGCTTCTTCATCGACGACTTTAGCCTTTCTCTTCTCTCCTCTCCCCATTCCCTGGCAGGCTTACCAGCGGTTAGGGTTTGAACAGAGGAGGATTGAAGTTTTCAGTTTCTACTTCACGGCAGCTAGGGTTTCTGCCGTCGTGTCGTGTGCAGCGCCGAACTCGATTTCCCTAATTAATTGGCTCCGATTTTAATTTGTTCGCCGTTTCCTTTTCTCCTTCCGTTTCAGAGAGGGCGTGGGATCTGGGCCCGGCCCACTTTCACAAGTGTGAACTGTGAAGTGTGGACTGCGGACCGTCAGCCCGATCACAATGCACGTTTTGGAATATTCTTTACTACTCACTAATCCAGCGCATGGTAAAATACTATTAAGACACCATAAACTATTCTTTTTTTACATGTTGCACCTAGAAAAAAAAAATTCACGCAAGAGTTAAAACTATTGTTTCCCATTCAAACCCTTAAATTTTGTCTTTGGTAAAGTTCAGTATGATATTTGACACTTCAGTAACTAAATGACAAATGTCAATATCTTATTTGACGATTAAGTAACTAACTTGTGTGATACGAAGAATGATGTGGCTTCTTACGAAAAAGGGTTTGATCTAGTGATAATATCACTAGTCTCATAGAAAGTGAATGCAAATCACCCTTATAGAAAGAAAATTGATATTGCTTCCTTTATGAAAATACCACACTTTTCACAATACAAAAATAGGTATATTTCTTATCTTCCAAAAATCATATATTTTGGTAAATGAGAAAGTTAGGGAGAAGAGACACAATGTAATAGAAGGGAGAGTAGTGAAGTAAAGATGACAGTGAGGTGGGTTATCTTAAATCTTTTACCATCCCCATTTTGAATCTAAAAATCTATTTCATTTTTATCACCATGATAGAAGTTTTGCATCCTCGTCCTTAGCACATAACTTATAACGGATAATCTTTGGCGCGTACATCCAGTCGAAAATTAGTTCAAATTAGTTCCCCTTGTGACTTGGCCAGGGCATTGATTTGGCATGGTAACACATGATATGTAGCCTTGTGAACCAAGGGATGGTGGATAGTAACCACTATAGAGGGTTTGTGGCGTTGGTTTATAACTCTAGTATGCGCAAGAAATATGCAACATGATGTTTGGCTCGAGTGGTAGAAGTTCGGAGGAACATTGCAGCCTAGACACTCTAGAGTTTGCTTCTAGTATATTGAGCTTGAACTAAGTTTATATTAGAGATATTATATTTGATTGTTCCTCTTGTAAGGCATAATCGACTTCCTATTTTTCTTTGGGTTAATGACACATTTGGTCACTGTGATTACTAAATTGTCCCATGTTTAGTCACTAAAAAAAGTTAATATCAAATTTGGTATCTCTAATTACTAAAACAGGTCATGTTTAGTCACTCTCCGTTAGTCTCCGTCCAACTCCGTTAATGTTGACCGTTATGTGCCGACGTGGCTAACGGGAGTGCCTAGTCAGCGTCATTTTGACCCGGAAATGGTCAAACCCGACCCGCCACATCACTAAACTAGCCATGTCATACACCCAAACCCGACCCAGAACCAAACCCGACTCATAACCAAACCCTAGCCCACCAAACAAAACAAAATCGAAAAATCCAATTTTCAGACCAAAAACCTATCTCCTTCCTCTCGAAGCTCTGCTCTTTCCTCTAGGTTCAGCCATTTTCGATTGAACTCCAGGGAGAGATGAAGAGCTCCATGCTACCCCCCTATCCCCTTGTCCCGGATCCTTCTTCAAAGTACCATTGTTTTCTTCTTCTTCATCGCGCGCCGCCGTTAGTTTCACCCATCGCAGCAGACAACAAAACCCTCAAATCCACCTTCGTTAGCTTCCCTCATCGCGCGCCGGCAGTAGTGGACGAAACCCTAAATCGATTCCCCTATTGCGGCTCGTCGTCATCGTAAGACCTCAAGTCGGACAGTTTAGGCGTCAATGGCTGCTGCTGAAGCGGCGCCGACGACTCCTGCTTTACGGCTCTGGCGAAGATTCCACCATTACAGCCCTCTTCTCCTCAATTTTAGGCTTGACATTGTTGTTGGCGGCGTCAAGATGGATATTCTTGTGGATAGCGATGGAGATTCCACCATTACAAACCTTCTCCTCAATTCCAGATCCTGGTCACAAGAATTTCAACCAAATCAAAAGGAGAAAAAAGAAGGGGCTTACTCTGAACTTGAAGCTTTCCTTGAAGAGACATAAACTAAGAGGATATCAAGGAGAGGGAAGATTGGAGTTGTGGTTGGGCTTCGAGCTCGCTGCAGTGAGCTTCGCCGTGGTGGACTTGGGAGTATTCTGCGTGGTTATGCAATGGAGGGCATGGCTGTCTTCTGATGTTGCGGTTGTGGTACTAGTACCGAGATTGGAGGAAGAAGATGTACGACAATGCAAGACTGGGCTGGAGAAGGAGCGAGACTTGAGACGGGGAGTGGTTGGGTTGTTTCCGGACGATGTGGTCGCCGGAGGACGGTGGTTGGAGTTGTGGGACGGCAGGTAGGTATGTTAGTGGTGGTGACGGGCTTGGGTTTGGTTATGGGTTGGGTTGGGTGTATGACATGGCTGGTTTAGTGATGTGGCGGGTTGGGTTTGACCATTTCCGGGTCAAAATGACGCTGACTAGGCACTCTCGTTAGCCACGTCAGCACATAACGGTCAACATTAACGGAGTTGGACGGAAACTAACGGAGAGTGACTAAACATGACCTGTTTTAGTAATTAGAGTGACCAAATTTGATATTAACTTTTTTTAGTGACTAAACATGGGACAATTTAGTAATCACAGTGACCAAATGTGTCATTAACCCATTTTTCTTTCTAAGCGATGCTCAACTGTTTGTGGCTGATGCAACATGGCATAAACTGCTTTTGGAAAGTGGTGTGTTTTTTTAGTACATTGACCAAGTCGATTAAGATAGAGCTATAAAATGATAACGCAGTTACCAGAAAAATAAGAAGTTTATATAAGTAAACACAACACTAGACGAACATCATATAACATAATCCAACTACAAACCATGACAAAATCAAGTATTACAGAATTTAGATTACTATGTGTCATATATGTGTCGATGGAATTTGACGAATGGACTAGGGAAGCTTAGGGTTGTGGTGCTTTACAAACTTCAGCGGATGGGGGAAGAGGAAATGAATGATTCATAATTAGATGTTTGTATATATGGTTTATGAATACGAAGACGGGGTGGGAGTACTTAAACTCATTATCGTCGATCTTTTTATGAGTATTTCTCGTAGTCCAGTCAATGTGATAAAACCCTGCTTTGATTGCAGTAGGGAGGGATGCCTCGAGAGGGAGAGTAATGTTATCATCCCTTATTGCAAGTTGCAACAAAGGGAGGAGAGGGGAATGTTGTAAGGAAGTGGTTAATTACCATACATGGACCTATATAAGATCCAATATAACCTTCTCCCAACAACTCGAGTTATTGGGACCAACTGGTTTATGACATGGTATCAGAGCTGGTTTGTCTGTGAGGTCACGTGTTCAAGTCCTCACGACCCCCAATATTAACTGTTGTCTTTCAAGCACATGGTATGACGGGCCTGTGCAAACTTCAAGCTCTTGAGTCGGCTTTCATTTGAATGGGTGTGTAAGGAAGTGGTTAAGTACCATACATGAGCCTATATAGGATTAGCAACGCAATAAAATAGACTAACTTATCATTATTAACGATATCAGTCATAGGAGCTAGACTCGGCGTCTATTTGTTTACAAATTGAGGAAGTTCAACGAATGCCTTGTTAGATTCTTAAAATATGGGGATCATTTTGTTATAAGCAATAAAGTCTAATGATCACTTTGCTGATCAATCAAATATTGCGTTTAAATCTTTTTAACCAGGACCGGGTGAAACAAAGCGGTTATTTCGATGACCACGGTGAAAAAGAAAAACAAACGAATCCACCACTCCACTCAGCGCCACAAATTCTTCCCTTTCTTTTTTTTATCCTCCATGGCTTCCCTCCTCGCTTCCTCTTGCTCCTCTCCCCTCCCTTCTTCTCCTTCTCCGCCAACAACGTCTACTTGTACATGCAGCAATCTTCTCCTTCGAGCACGGTTGCCATTCTTGAAACCGAAACTCCCTTCTCCACCTCCCTGCTGTTCTCCCAGCAAGCGAAACCTCCTTCCCAACTCAACGGCCAATCTCATCGTCGTCCCGCCGCTTTTCCTCTTCCCCGGATCATCACCTCCCAATACCCAGACAGTTTTAATCACTGCTAGCGTAGTGGCCGCCATTGCTCTCTCCCTTTTCCTCGGCCTCAAAGTAATTTCCGCCCCATTTTCCTTCTACATCTCTCAATTTTACTGATAGTAGTAACTGAAATTACTCCCATGAAATGGGTTCTTTTTTTTGTATTTGGCAGGGAGATCCAGTTCCGTGCAGCAAGTGTGCTGGAAATGGTAATCTGCCTCTTTTTCTGGGTTTCTGGGTTTTTGGTCTTGGGAATTTGGATAAATGAATATGTGGTGCAGAGTTGTGCAGTTCTATCTATGTGTGAAGCACTGAAATTAGCTTGCATTCCAATAGAGCAGTTTTTGAAATCGTGAAGCATGAGAAGGAAATGCATTCTGAAGTGTATACAAAGAGTATAGTTGGAATTGGTGAATACTGTAAACCAATCAGTAACTTGGAGATGAAGTTAGGGGTTAATATGGATATCCTTTAGTTAGATAGTACATTTTGTCTTGATGGTAATATGCAAGATGCTTTGCAGCTTTAGTTAAGTTTATACATACCCTTTCGAGCTATTAAGCTGGATTCACAACAAAATGTGAAAATTTGGCATGGTTTGCGGCTTCACGTTGTAATTTCATTGTTTGGCACTTCGGGTTCAGTTAATTGTGTTGCCCTGAGTCCTGACTGTTGATTGTTGTTGCTTCCTTTTGTTCTTCAACAAGGGGGCACGAAATGTGTGTTCTGCGAGAACGGCAAGATGAAGCAAGAAACCGGCTTGATGGACTGCAGAGTATGCAAGGGTGCAGGTATCATCATCATCATCATCCTATGTGATAACTTTTGCTGTTAATTCCTCATTAAGGAACTATTATGTTTAACTAAGATTGTGTCTAATAGTTACTCTAGATCATTTCTGAATGTGCCATCTGTACCTTGTGGGGTTTCCACTGCCTCTTCTATCAATCTTGCCTCCCACATTCTTTAGAGGGGAAAAATTCACTGCAAAATGTGACAAGCCTAGTGTATCCACTGTGTAACCACGAAATCGACATGTATTCCATTGTAGCAGTGAACATTGATCTCTGCTTATCTAGCACCCTCATCAACTCAGTGCTCGAGCTCTTTAAACCTGAATGTTCGTTCTTCACATATTCGTATTGTAATCAGATATGGGTACTATGTGCAGGGTTGATACTGTGCAAGAAGTGCAGAGGTTCTGGGTATTCTAGACGGCTATGATCTTGTTTTTGTCTGGGCATTTAGTTACATATACCTTCTATCTGCCTATTTTTGGGTTCATTTTCTTCTTTCTCCATCCATCTTATATGATGTGTAAATGCTTTGCTATTTTTCTCCTCTGCTGTGCAACTTCTTGAGTAATGTTGAGTACAGAAATGTAAATATTGCTGTCTTAAAACAGCCCTACAACTTATAATGATTCATCCAAGTTTTGGCCTATTCTTCCAGCTGATGTGTTTTTTTGGTTGGGGTATCATGGCCTCATTGGTGTCTCTCCTTTCTCCAGCTTAAGATTTCCCATATAACAGTTTCTCGGGACGACTTATCATGTTGGGTGAATTGTTGGTAATGAGGGCAGGCTGAATTAAAGCAACCACTTCCATTCGGTGGTAGAAAGATGTAAGCAATGAGGTGTATTAACTCGTATTATCAGTGACAGCTCAAGTTAAGAGCCAAAAGACACAAATCACAGCTTATATAAAGACTCTCAAGCCTTTGAAGGGGAGGGGCCTTCTTTATTCTTCTAGTGCTATGTATAAATTATCTCTCCGAACTCTCTCTTACGAAATAGGAATTTTCTGGGGTGGTTTGGATGATGGAATTCGATGAAGCAAATTTGCCCCAGTTGCATTAAAACGAAACAATCAAGTCAAATTGTTTCGTTTGGTAACATATAATATAATAAGGATGTAACAATTTGATTGAGTCAATTTGAATTCGCTCGTTCTGCATCATTTTGATTTGACAGAAAGTGTCAATTATTTTGAAATGATACGTTTCTGGACTTTTTGTGAGACAATTAGATCAAATTGTCTCATTTAATAAATCCATCATCCAATCGATCCCAACCCACCTTGCCTTTCCATAAAATTTTCCTACTCCTCCTAGTCCCAAAGACCATTTGGTTATGATACTCATAATTCAAACTTTGAGAAAAATACTCATTGGAGTTGGATATCGTAGGATAAAACGCCATGTAATTCATGGTTGTTGGATAAACGTGACTTGATCCGATGATACCTAATATTATGAGCACTATAACCGGATTGTAAAAAAAAAAATTAAGCAACATATACAGAACTAGAATTAGGACCCACCACCACCTGCTCACCCAAGGTTCATCTTGGTTGGAACAATTACTACCTGTTTTGTTATATAACAAGCATTAAGTGTACTATTTTGTAATTGAGTGAAAGTTAAGTGATACTTTCACAATCTTAAAATATATTAAAGAGGATTAAGATTAGGACCCTCTCCACGTCAGCCTTAAAAGCCTGACCGCGATTTTCGGTAATCTGAGTTTTCTTTTAATTTTTAATTATTTTTACCATTCGCGTTCGCCTCTATGTCAAATTTTTTTTTGTTCAGGCTAACTGTTTATGTTTTCTTATCCCTTTAAAGTTTAAACCGTCCCCTGGACTCCTCCTTGCACTAGGTTTTTCTCTTTTTTCTTTTTGATCAATTTATTTTGGATGGAGATATGGGAGGAAAGAGATGACGAAATAAATTATAATTATTTGTGATGATTACTTATCCTCAATAATAATAATGCAAGTCATCTAAATAATAATCATAATAATTTTTAATATTTTTAATCGAAAATATGTTTTAAAATATTAATGGTAAATTAATCAAGAGGTAATATGGAGAATGAAATCCGAAGTATAGATTCATAGAATTTAGAGATTTAACGAATATAGTTTCTTTCTCCATTTTATATGTGCATTGTAGGTTTAGAGATTACAAATTCTAAAATCTCGATATATCATAAATCTCGATATTTTGTATCTATATTTGTTTCACTCACTAACATATGTTAAATAATCCTTACTATTTGGGTGGGAGGATTGGCCATCAATTCATGTACGATTCTTCCTTATAGATTGATCGAGCTTCACACCCCAAGAGGACACTATATGCCCACCAAACTTCCCCCGAAGAACTTTATCAAGATGGACGGACCTTCTGGTGTTTCTTTTGAATTTTAACTATAAGTTGAGATGCAAGATTTATTTTCCTTTTCGTGGTGCCTCTAAGCCTTTAATTTTGTGATGGAAACTAACTGTGCGGTTTTAGAAAATTATTGCTTTCATATTACACATATACACATAAATTAAAAAGTTAGCTGCCCAAAGGGCAGGGTTAATGCTAGTTATTCCATATCTTCTTTGTTTCATAACCCAGATCCTCAAACGGTTCGCTAATTCAAAATCCAGAACATCACAGCCCTCCATCTCAGACCCTATCTTCACTTCTTTACCGTCGGATCACCAGTTCACAATTCGTCGATTCACATCTCCCTCTCCTTGTTTCCCCCCGTCTTCTTGAACACTCCCCCCCAGTTCAAATCTTTCTTCTCTCTCTACTTTCTTTCTCCGCCAGATTCCCACTCTTCCACTTCAGATTTTCCCAGCGCCCAAACACACCTTCAGACGACCAATCCTCCCAACTCCTCATCGCCCCTACTTCACAATCTTTCCCTTTCTCTCAGCTCGAGACGGAAGCAGGAAAGAGCGCCGGAGAAAACTAGCAAATCCGACTGCCCGGGCGAAAATGCCGTTCAACTACGAGGCCGCCGCGAGTGCCATCAAGAACCGGTTCGGATTCAATGACCGCTCCACCTCGGAGTCCGTGCCGAGTACTCCGTTGCTGCTGAATTCGGCTGCTCGGGGCGAGTTTACATCCGGCAAGCCTCTGTTTGCCGCTTCCGCAGCTCGGAGGATCGTAGAGTGGGAGGACGATGCCGCTGGCGAAACAAGCGGGCTGGCGACTCAGAGCTCGGAGCTCAGTGACGATTCATCGTTCTGGAAGGACAACAACGTTCAGGTGAGACTGGAGAAACTTTCGATTCTGTAATTTCAGTGGCGCTGGGAATGTATTAGGGGTATTGAATCCGAAGCGATAAATCCGATTGAGCTAGTTCATGACTGAATTGCTGGTAAAAATTTGTTCGGTTGGCTTAGAGAAATCAATTCTTCAGAATTGGGATTTGCATATGGAGCCTAGCGAATTGTGTAATGTAGGTTTACTCATTCAAGCGGGAATTGACCTGGAAGTTTGTGTCCTGTGTTTATGCAAAGCATATTTGTTCTCGTATTTGTTAGCCTTAATGTGATTTGGAGTGAACTATAGATAAAATGAAGGAAATAAACGTTTGACCACTTCAATTTTGGCAGGTTATCATAAGAATGCGCCCACTAAGTGGCTCTGAAATTTCCCAGCAAGGTCATAAAACTTGTGTCAGGCGAGAGAATCCTCAGGTGATATCATGGACTGGGCCTCCAGAGTCTCGCTATACATTTGATCTTGTTGCGGACGAGACTGTTAGCCAGGTTGCGTGTCTTTCATCTTCTTAGTGGCTCTACTTTTTCAGTGCACCCCCAATTCACTTTACTTTTATATGGTGGCTCAAATTTTGTCTTTGATTGCAGGAACAAATGTTCAAGGTGGCTGGGTTGCCAATGGTTGACAATTGCATGGGAGGGTACAATAGCTGTATGTTTGCATATGGTCAGGTATGCTTATGATTGTTACCTTAATCCTAGTTTACATTTCAGCTCGCTCCTTGACTAAAGCTGCAGTAACCAGAGGAGTTAGTCCAAACGATTTTAACTACTACTTGTTTCAGCAAACATCTTTCACTGCACATACTATTTTATTTGACTAGCTTATCGTTAATTATGAGTTGTACTTCACTGGTTCCAATTTCTGGGTAATGTCTTATTGATGCAGACAGGAAGTGGGAAGACTTACACCATGCTCGGAGACATAGAAGGAGGTACAAGAAGGCACAGTGTCCATTGTGGGATGACACCTAGAGTCTTTGAATACTTGTTCTCTAGAATACAAAAGGTTTGCTTCATCCTATAATTTTTAACCTATCACCATTTTATTTTCTAGTTTGTTTCATCAGTGAAGGTTTGTCTATTGCTTGGTGTTTACACAGATTTTCGTCATGCACAGGCACTACAAATGTTGACATCTGCAACATTCCAGAATATGACTAAGTGATTCCTTTTTGTTGTATAGGAAAAAGATGTCCGAAAAGATGAAAAACTGAAGTTTGTTTGCAAATGCTCCTTCTTGGAGATTTACAATGAACAGATTCTTGATCTGTTGGACCCATCATCGAACAATTTACAGGCATGTTAAGCGTACATTGTTATAGCTTCATATTCATAGTCTTGATATTGAGAAACTTGATTTTCTTTTTTATGAATTCAAGAGCTCTGTTCAGTATGTTGCTGCTGCAGTAATCAGAACTTTCTAATGTTGTTCAAGTTTTCTAGTCTTACAAGTTACAGTGTTTAGACAAACGTTTGCACTTCCTTGATTTGCTTTCACAAACTAACATTGTTCATTGCATATTATAGATAAGAGAAGATGTGAAGAAAGGAGTATATGTCGAGAATTTAAAAGAGGTAGAAGTCACCAGTTCTCGAGATGTTATCCAACAGCTTATTGAGGTACTGTATGATCCATGAAGTTCTTTTCCATTAGCAGCTATAGTCTTCATGCTTAGTGATTGACACTAAAGCGTTCATAGCCTAAAAGCAGTGGTTATGAAGTTAATACTTTGTTTCAATCATTGTCAACGGTTGATCATTTACAAAAACCTGTGTCCAGATAATCCATATCCTTCTTGATTTCAAGTTCTTACTGTCTCCGTCGCTTCTGCAATGCTATGTAAATATGGGTGAACAATGCTCTCAAAATTTAATCATTTGTATTTTGTAGCTGACAATTATTCAGCTAAACATAGTAAATGTCAGCCTTACAGCTGTATGTTATGATCCTTAAAAACTTGAGATGGAGATCAGCACTGTTTCTTCAAAACTTGGGATGGAGTTCAGCAATGTTAATGCTCCTTTGTACATTGTTTCTCAGGGTGCAGCAAATAGGAAAGTGGCTGCAACTAATATGAACCATGCAAGTAGTCGTTCCCACAGTGTATTTACATGCATTATTGAAAGCAAGGTTAGTAGATCGCCCTTTGTTAACAGTGAGACCTTATTATCCAAGTATCTTATATATTTTGCATGAGTTTGATCAATGCTGATATTTGAGTTCTTATCAGTGGGAATCACAAGGTGTAACTCACCACCGGTTTGCTCGACTTAACCTAGTTGATTTAGCTGGATCTGAAAGGTATATGTTTTTAATATTGGTAGTATCACATACATTTTTAGCTCAGGAAGTAATTATTAATGCTTCATATGGTTGTGTTCTATATACCCCTAGGCAGAAGAGTTCTGGTGCTGAAGGAGAACGTCTGAAGGAAGCTACAAACATTAACAAGTCCCTTTCCACCTTGGGGTATAGTCTCCCTTTTACCACCCACATTTGTCATGAATGGTTGCAAGATTGGCCCTCTGCTCTAGTCAAAGTATCAGTTATTCACAAATCACAAGACTATTATTCACTGATCTCACTTATTGCTTGCAGCCTTGTGATTATGAATCTTGTTAGCATATCCAATGGAAAATCACTGCATGTTCCATACAGAGATTCGAAGTTGACATTTTTGCTTCAGGTAGACACTCTTGCAGTTAATTTACTTCTGGAGTGGCAATGATAGATAAGTTTGTTGCTGCTCTAAAGACATGTTGGTCTTTCTAATTAGCATCTGATGTGAACATTAATTGCCGTTATGAATGGTTGAGAAAAGAATGCGGTATTTTGAATAGCATGAGAAAATCTTTGCTTTTAAACAGATAAATAGCACATAATTACGTGAGACTAGAAAGATAGTTTTATATATTATTTCCATTATGTCTTCCATCAGGAGAACTATGCATAGCTCACATCTTTCTTACAGCCAATCAGAGTATTTGCTTCCATTATAGCTGGTCCTTAGATGTCTAGGTTAGTCAAAGTTGTAATTTTAGATACTTCAATGTGTGTCTTATTAAGGTGATTCTTAGTTTTGAACTTCTAAAATTTGCTGGTTCATAGGACTATCGACCTTATTCAAAGATGGTAATTATTGTAAGATGTTCATTGGGTCACTGAGGTTTGAAAACTTCACTCACTTTAAGTTGAGATGCTGAAGTTTGAATTGGTGAACAGTATCAAATGGAACTTTCATTGCAGAAGGTGATCTACATTCTAGGATTTTGTGTTCTAATTGATTCCTTTTTTTCAGGACTCACTCGGAGGCAATTCAAAAACTATCATAGTTGCAAATATTAGTCCAGCTCTCTGGTGAGTCACCAACGTATCTTGTTTAAGGGGAAAAAAATACTATGTGTATCCCCTGGTTTGGCTAGTTTCTTAACTCTCTGCCGGTGTTGTTTTTCCAATAATGCGCATGGACAGATATGGTATATGGCTGTTTACAAAATGCATATGTAGGATAGCTTCCTCATTTATCTTTCTTCTTTCTGTATTTTTCATACAGAACTCTCGACATCTGGATTTCTCATGGCATAAGACTAGAAAAGTAAAATCTTGTTTGCAGTATGGACTTAATACCCAAAGTTTGTTCACGGTCAACAATTTAGCAGAATGGGTTTAGTTTCTGCAATTATCATTTTCTACTTTTGTTAATGCCTTTTGAAAGTCTACTGTTCTCGTAATTTATTGAAGATTAGATATGGCGATCGCTTCTCTTTGATCCATATGATCAAATATTTTCTCCCGACATGCTTTTCTCTCCCAGTCTCTATTTTCAGTGGGATGAAATATTTTATCATCCACTTCTAATAATCGAATGTTTTGGTCTTGCTGCAGCAATTCGTTGGAAACATTAGGCACATTGAAGTTTGCACAACGTGCAAAGTTCATTAAGAACAATGTAAGTAATCAACACTTATCCTTCTTTTTTGTGTAATGATAGCACTGAAGTCGTGAACACTTATCCTCTTTTTGTGTAATGATAGCACTAAAGTCGTGGGCTTCTGTTGATATTGAAACTTCAATGTCCCTAATGTTTATGGTCCTTGTAATTATGGCCTTCTTTTATGGGTGATAATCTAAGGTTAGTGTCTTACCTTCCTTTAGGCAATTGTCAATGAAGATACATCCGGAGATGTGATTGGCATGCGGATGCAAATTCAGCAGTTGAAGGTAACTTGGCTAAATTCAACATCTCTATTCTCTGGTGTTCTCAAGTGTGCTTTGGCAATAATAATGGGATTTGTATCATACTTACTTTTAGGTGTTCCACTTGATAAATTTAAAAATTGGATATATCTTTGTTTCCAGAAAGAGGTTTCCCACCTACGCAGTTTAGTGAATGATGGAGCAGGCAGTTTTGCTGGAATTGAGGCTTCAGCAGTAAGCATTGCTGGATCACCTACTGCTTTTAAATGGGAGGGGCTTCAAGGATCCTTCAGTCCTTTTGTTTCTGATAAAAGGGTGTCTCAGGTATTTACTAAACCTATTGAGCATTATACAACATCCCGATAAGACTTAGTAGCTAAATGCTGGTAATTCCTTTATCATTATACTTCGTTAGAAACCAGACTATGAGATCGCCCTTATCGGAGCTATTAGGAGGGAGAAAGATAAGGACATGGAAATGAAGGCACTGAAGGCTGAGAATCAGGCAGTCTTGCTACTGGTATGTGCTAGACAAACTTCTTCCTTTCGGTTGATTACTTCCTATTTTAAGCATATGTATACTTAATTTTCGTGAAGAAATTTAGTTTGCTGTAATCTGGAAGCTTGTAAGATTGCAAATTAATGAAATTAGAAGATTCTAGTACCACACTTTCTTTCTTTCTTTCTTTCTTTCTTATTTAGATAACCTTTCATCTATTATCATTCCTGTCGCTATCTGAAATTTAGAAATAAGTTAGTGCAATTTGTGTGACAAATAGGCTAAGCAAAGAGAAGATGAGATTCAAGGCCTCAAAATGAGGCTACGATTTCGCGAAGCAGGAGTCAAACGGTTAGAGTCAGTTGCTGCTGGTAAAATTTCAGCAGAGACACACTTGTTGCAAGAAAAGGAGGAACAATTGAAGGAGATTCAACTTCTACGAACCCAAGTAGACAGGAATCAAGAAGTTACAAGATTCGCGATGGAAAATTTGAAGCTCAAGGAAGAAATTAGAAGGCATGTCTTGTTCATTCTTCGTGATCTACTCTGTCATTATTCCCTTTCATTAGCTACTGTTCAGTATTTATGGTAGAACTTTGAACATAATATCTGTTGGCACTTTGTGTTCCTCACAGGCTGAAATCATGTTGTGAGGAGGGTGAAAGGGAGATTATGAATGAGCAGATCACAGTGTTGCAGAATAAGGTTTGAAAAGCATATCAGGAGATCTTTTACATTATATTTTGAGCTCCAAACTCTCTTTTTCACTCACATATTTCTCCCCTTTCCTTTTTGGTAGTTGCTTGAGGCGCTTGATTGGAAACTTATGCATGAATCAGAAACCTTCTTTTCTCAGGTTCTTGATAAGCTCACTCCCTTTCAACCTTTTTACTCATGCGTGATACCTGTAAACTTGAGTTTCATATGTGAACTATTTTTTTTTATGCTTGCACTCCAGAAGGAAGATTCAGTCAAGGAGAAAGATGATGATATTGATCTCTTCAAGTTAAGCAAGGTAATCTGGAAACTATATTGGTAAAAGCTTTTTTGAGGATATCGTTATTCCACAGTGATTCTTGATTCACACTTTAATGGAGTTTCTGTGGACCTACATTCTGTTCTTCTGCAATTCAGGAATCTGGATCCCCTTGGCGTTTGAAGGAAGAGAATGAGTTCCTTTGTATGCAGGTAGAGTTGTTGTTTTTCTTTCAAAAAACATTCTCTATAATCATCTTTGAAGTTGATGCTTATTTATTTGACCTACTCAACAATTGGTGCATCTCTTTAGGCTATTCAAAACCAGGCAGAAATAGACACTCTCCATAAGCAGTTGAGCTTCTGCCTAGAAGAAAGAGACAAACTTGAAAGGTAAAAAGTTGATTCTTTGAACTCTTTTGTGCTTCATTTGCCTGGAAATCGTGGAAATGACAATATTGTATCGCTTTTTTTTCCCTGTAGCCATGCCAATGAGTTGGCAGAACAACTTGAAGAAGCCAGAAAACACATAAATGAGGAGCCCTCAGTTGGTATGAACGATCAAATGGAGCTCAAAACCATGGTTGATGCAATTGCTGCTGCAACTCAACGAGAAGCAGAACTATCCAATGAGAATGCCGAAGTGAGATCAAAGCTCGAAGCTCGGATCCACGACAACGAAGAACTCCAGTCGAAGCTGAAGGCCTTGATCGAAGAGAAGAATAGTCTCATTGAGATGTACGAACGTGCAGCGTCTGAAAGCAAATACAAAGCTTCAGATGACAACAACATGGATGTAGACAGCCCAGACAACACACCAAACGACTCCGAGTCGATGAAAGCAGCCCTGGAGAACTTAGAGCAGCAGCTTTCAGAGATGCATGAAGAGAACGACAGGTTGCTTGGACTCTACGAAACTGCAATGCGCGAGAAGGATGAACTCCGAAAGGAGTTGCATACATCAGAAGAAGCAAAATTGAAGCTAGAAACAGCTCTGGAGAAAAAGCTCTCCGATTCTACCCGAATTCTGAAAACGGTAGAGGAGGCTCTTACCGAGTTTGACAGAGTCTGCCATGGAGTGGAAGCCAAGCAACAGGAGCTGAGTTCCTTGGAACTTCAATCCAAGGAACTGCAGCATACAAAATCCGTTGTGGAGAACAAGTTTTCAGCGCTCAGATGTTCCCTCTCCAACTTCTCTTCCTCCCTGGCCTACTTCGACCAGCGAGAAGCTCGAGCAAGGGCAAGATTCAACGCTTCATCATCTTACCTATCCCAAAAGGAAGACGAACTCGCCCGTCTTCAGGCCGAGAAGACAGAACTCGAGGCTGCAACAGGTCACAAGGCCAAAGAATCCCAGCTCGAACTGAAGATCAAGATTTCAGCTCTGAGATCGAAGCTCGACGAAGAGAGCCTCCGTCGGCGGGAGAGCGAGAAGGTCCTGTTGGCCATCGACAACATCGAGAGAGCCGACGGAGGAGGGTTCGGCAAGGCCACGGAGCTACTGAAGTCGGAAGAAGAGAAAGCGAAGGTGCACGCCGAGCTGCAGCAGTCCATCGACAGGCTAAACTCCATGAGAAAGGAGACCGAGGATTCGAACAGAAAGTTGAGGAGGATTGATACCGAGTTGCAGGGTATTCAACTGGAAGTAGAGAAGAGCACGAAGACGGCAGAGGAAATGATGGTTGCACTCGACAAGGTGGTGGAGGAGAAGGAAGGTGTAGCGGAGATGATCGAAATGGGGAAGTCGGAGGTGGAGCGGATGGTGGTTGAGTATCATCAGGGAGTGTTCGCCGTAGATTTGAAGGAGGCGGAGATGAGGATTCTGGAGGAGGAAGTGTTGGTGGAGGTGGGAAGAATGGAGGATTTGAGAGCTCGGAAATCGGCTGTTGCTGCAGAAGTGAGCAAGCTTTTGGGAGAGATGAAATGCTTTGAATCAGGGCTTGTCTCTCAGTAGATCGGAGAAGACTGAAGAAACATTGCTGACGGCAGAAGTTTAGGTATGCTTTGCTTTCATTTATCAACCATGTTGTTTGTATAGTCTCTTATGCTAATATGTTTGCAGAAACTGTCAAGAGTTCGTTATTACTTATTAGTAACATGGTTTTTGAAAGTCGTATTTGCACTCACTAGGGCTACAATGCTTCATGGAGAGCATATTCTAGACAATTATGAAATCATATCATTTGAATGAAATCGGTAGATGGGTTTAACGGTATTAAACCGTCCATAAATTTCATTATTAAGAAGTGTATCTACAGCTCCTTATATCAATTTCTCATAGCATGGATCTACTTGTTGTTATTGGATTAGTAAGAGTTAATTGTTCATGGTGACTGGTGAGCATATTCTAGACAATTCTTATATCATATTATTATTTGAATGAAATCGGTAGATGAGTTTAATGTTATTATACCGACCGTCAATTCCATTATCAAGAGGTGTATCCTCAACTTCTTATACCAATTTCTCCTAGTGTGGATCTACTTGTTGTTAATTGATCAATAAGAGTATTGTTCTGAAAGATAACTTTTATATAGAGTTCATTAATATCTAAACTCATGAACTTAAAACCATGTAGGTTAAATCATAATTTCACTATAAAATACTCTATCAATAATTCTTTTATACAACCTCTCATTTTCACAATTTTTGACGCCAATGCTTTCTATTTTGATTCAAATGATGATTTGATTCCGTCTAATTTAACATAACTTAGAAGAAGATCAAAATCAATCTAAAGTTGGCTTGAATGATTGGAAATGAAAGGATTAGAATTGCACCAGAATTTTCTCCGACTATCTTATGTTTTTATTTTGCATGTCGATTTCTTTATTTACATGGTGTACAACGAAATTGAAACAATAAAAATTTAAACCAAAACGAACTATGCATCGATTTAATCTAACACCATCCAAATATCGGTTTGATTCTATCTGTAATCTAGGGATTGGATCCATTAACTACTAAGTACTAACAACACTATTACCTAGAATTAAATTAGTTTGTGTTAATTTCCCATAATCCCATTAATGTTCATAAAATAATCCACCAGCCTAACCTTCCATCGTTCTCATTTGGAATTTTGTCCTCCCCCAATTCACACTCTTCTCTCTCTCTCTCTCTCTCTATCTCCCTCCTCCAGTTCCTTCAGACACCATTCCTTCCTTATCACTGAAAACATGTCTGAATCTGAAACTCCCGGCGCCGTTGACTTCGAAGATTGCCTCGGCGTCCTCAGAGTCTACAAAGACGGCACTGTCCGGCGATCCTCCGACGCATCCCTTTTCTGCACCCCGGTCAACGACGACGGCTCCGTGGTATGGAAAGACACAATCTTTGACCCCCAAAACGACCTCCACCTCCGCCTCTACAAACCCTCTTCCTCCTCCTCCTCCTCCTCCGCCGCCGCCGCCGCCAAGCTCCCCGTCGTCTACAACATCCACGGCGGCGGCTTCTGCCTCGGCTCCCGAACCTCTCCCAACTGCCACAACTGCTGCCTCAGGCTGTCGTCAATTCTCCAAGCCGTGGTGGTCTCGCCGGACTACCGGCTGGCGCCGGAGCACCGCCTCCCCGCCGCCGTCGACGACGGCCACGCGGCTCTGAAATGGCTCCGAGATCGAGCCGTGGCCGGGGACGACACGTGGCTGAGCGACGTGGCGGATTTCGGGAAGGTGCTTGTTTGTGGTGAATCGGCGGGAGGCAACATTGCTCATAATTTGGCGGTCCGGCTCGGATCCGGGTCGCCGGAATTGGAACCGGTTCGGGTTAAGGGCTATGTTTTGTTGGCCCCGTTTTTTGGAGGCACGGTGAGGACCAAATCTGAAGCTGAGGCTACAAAAGATCAGATTCTGAATCTGGATCTCGTTGACTGGTATGTGTTTGACTAGATTGGTTCGAATTCGATCATGTGAGAGTAGCTATCGAAATTTTTTGAGGAATCACATTTCCAACAATTTTTGCAGGTTCTTCAGACACTCTGTTCCAATTGGTGACACATCGGATCATCCGCTAGTGAACCCATTTGGACCCAGGAGCGAAAGTCTCGAAGCTTTGGAGCTTGATCCGATGGTTGTGTGTTGCGGTGGAGATGATATATTGGTTGATCGAATTAGAGACTATGTCGAGAGGTTAGAGAAATTGGGGAAGAGGGTTGAGTATGCAGAGTTTGAAGGAGAGGGGCATGGGTTCTTCGTCAATAACCTGGACTCGGAAGCTGTGAAGTCGGTGATGGAAATGATGAAGAAACTTGTTAACGGCTAATATCGAGCTCCAAATGAGTGTGTTGTTGTTTTTTTTTTGTATTACTGTAATGTTAAAACATTCTCATCGTGGAACTTCTTGGAAGTAGGAAGAGCAAAATTTTTTTCCTTTTTAGTCTTTGGCTTTGTTGATGGATTTGGTGGTAAATTGTTACCTAGAATTTATTGAAAAGGTGATTTGCTCCAAAATGTTCTTGTAATTTGGCTTGTTTTTTTGGATGGTGAACCAGGGAAGGGGAGATTCTAAAATGTAGGGTTTGATTAGTTTTGAATTTTGTTTTTTTGTTTCAGACTTTCAGTTATATATACTAGATAAATTGCCCCTCCTATGTGGCATTTAAGTTGTTATAAATAGTTATCCCGAAGATGGAAATAAACGACACCATAAACACAAAGTAAAAGACAACGAAGCATAGTACACGATACAACATGGGCTTGTCTTTTACAGGCAATAGATGCTCCCCAAGTCCTTCCTCATAATAAATAGAATAGGTGGGAGGTTAGGAAGGTGGTAGGGATGGCAATGGGTCGGGTTGTGGCGGGTTTTGTCAAATCCAAATTTAAACTCATGGATTTATTCGCCAAAAAAATCCGGGGTAAAACCCGCTGGGTTTGAAAAATTGAAACACAGCCCAACCCGCGGGTATCTGCGGGTTCGTGGGTACCCGTGGGTTTTTGTGGTAAAAAATTTACAATAACAAGTTTCTTTCAAAATAAAAGTTTAACATTAATTTTCTCATACAAATTATTCATACAAAAAACACCAATCTAGAGCATACAAGCAAACCGCAAATGATCAATACAAATTGTTCAAAATTAAAGATAAACATCTATAAACAATAAGATTAATTGAAAGCTTCTTACTCGTCAACTAAGTTTCTTCACTCTCCACTTCATAATATCAACTTCATTCTAAACAATTAAAAACAACAAATTATATATGTCTCCACAAACATAAAGAATATTAATTGTTTAAGGAAGATATATTATTTAGAATATTAAATATACCGGAAAAGTAATTATATGTGTGTGGGCGGGTACTGTCACGACCCGAAATGTCGTGACCGTGTTGATCGTCTGAAGGTTGGTCTTGAGGAATGAGTGCACCTCAAAACGCCGCACGGACTTCGGAAGTCTATGTCCGTGACAGTACCCATGGGGCGGGTTTACCTAAACCCGAACCCAACCAGACCCGGTGAATAGTGTAGCGGGTTTAAACCCGAACCCGGAAAACCCGTGTTGACCAGATTGGGTCGGGTGGGTACCCGTGGGTTCGGGTTTTGTTGCCATCCCTAGAAGATGGTGGTCTGTAGAATGGGTGGAGAAAGGAAATCCACATGTATATACATTCATAATATAAGTAACGTTTTTGCCACTCTATAGAAAGTCAACAATGACTTATTAGCATCATTCGATCAACCGTTATATCTAACGATAAATTTACAAAATTCAGAACACAAATGTAAAGAAACTCATAAACCCTGTGCTAGGATTGTCGTCATATCCAATACTTCGTGATATTTCGAGTGTCCCAGTGATATTATTATTGTTATTTTGCCTAAAGATCATTGTTCATCGTCATCGAGAAGTCTATCCACAACCAACTTAGCATCACGAGCAAACACCATAGACTGCAAATCTCTCTCTGATAGATGCAATCAGAATGGTGATAACAACACGCGTACGTGGATAGTATAATGAGTGAAGTCAAATACCAGACATCGAGAAGCCCCCCGAGGCTCCAACCCTCTAATTATCATTACCTCACCAGTTTGTAAGACGCGGCAAACAAGCTGCCATAAGAAATATCACAATTTAGGAGGGATTGAGGCACTCCAAATTCTCATCACAAACCCCCTATATCCCACCCTAGGACTCCTAATTTCACCACTAGTTCCTTTTTCTTTCGCAGCTCCACAACTAGATGGTACCTTGACTTAACCGAGTACATCCCAGAGGGATCTCCCATCCAAACCATCGTATCAGGAATGAGAGGAATCGATAGAGGTATGGCCATGACGACCCGGACGATATATACTCTTCAAAGAATTGTCGCAAACAATCAACACACCATTTCTCCGGGTTGCAATGAATCTATAATTTTTCGTAGGACCATCTACCGTCGTACCAGACCCTATAGTCTTTTATCCAATAATTCTCGACCATGTAAGATGCCACGCCAACCCCGTGATAGTAAAGAACCCACTTTTACTTCAAGAAGGGAAGAATTTGGGAAGTACCTGCCCTTGTGTGTCCCGGTGGTATTAGCGTGAGCTTTCCTTGACAGTTATAGAATCCTTTTTGAAGGAAGGAAGATAGATAAGATAATACACAAATGTAAGCTCTTCTAATTTGGCACCAAAGAATCATTCCTCCCAAACTTTGTCTGCATATACAATATCTAATCAACACTAGAACACAATCAGGTCAACCAAATGCTGGCCAAAGTGAATATAGACAGAGGATAATTAAGGAATTAAATGACGAAAAGGTGACAATCAGCAGCATAACCACCCAATAACAATAAAAAAACGCCGGGCTAATCGACCGGCCGGCCGGCAGCCAACAAGGCCGGCCAAAATCTACGTTGATACAAATTGAATAATTGATGATCGATTACTGGCCATTCGTCGCACAATTCTCCCTCTCAAAGTCAACCTTCTCCCCAACATCAAATGTCAAAACCAAACGTGTCTAAACTCTAAAACTATGTTTGACAACAAGGGGTGCAAGTTCGACGGGTGCAAGTTGAGAGGTAAATTGTTGTTTGGATTAAAAAGTAAGGGGTGCAAATAAAATGAAAAATAAGTAATTATATTATTATAAAATAGTGTTGTCAAATTTATAAAATATTATTGCAAAATAATAAAAATATAAATCAATCTATAATAAAAATAAAAATATTTTAATAAAAATAATTATTATATGAGAATGCTCAAATAATAATTAATTATAACAACAATAATAATCATTTGTCGACAGACCTCGAAGTTCAAAACCCAACTTGTAACTGGTCATCCTAAGGGGGTTCTTGTGCCAAACTTTAAATTCAATATGGTCAAACTTAGTCAAACACGTTCGAATATGTACGCTTTAACATTTAAGTCAAGTAAACCGAGTCAACCAAACCGTTCCTCTCTAGTTTCAATGCAAATTCTAGTCAACCAAGAAGTATCGATTTGACTAGACGAACATTGACAAACTTGCTCACAAAGTTAAAACTTTCAAACCCCGAACATCGTCTACAATAATTATAACTATAATAAAAAATTAATAATAATAACTATTATAATGAAAGAATAAATTAATATTCCCCCTCTTCCTCTCCCCTCTTCCTCTTCCCCTTCTTTCCTTTCTTCTAGGGGTGAACAAACACACCCGCAAACCGACTCACCCGTCCAACCCGACCCAACCCACCCGTATTTATCGCTAAAACGAAGGTTTTGGGTTGGGTGAGGGTTTTATTTTGTACAACCCGCCTCTTTTGGGTTGGGTTTGGATTTTGGATTACACAACCCGTAGAACCCGACCCAACCCGTGTTTCAACTATTAGTATGAGTTCGAATCTAAAAAAATATTTATGTCGTATATAGTCATATACTCATATACTTATGAGAAAATTAAAATATTTCGCCATGTTTTTCTCTCATGGTCTCCCTAATCTAATGCATTCTTCGACTTAAAGTTTAGACATAAATTGAATATAGTTATGATTCACATAATCCTTATTCTTGTGTACAATTTTAATAGAATAAAATATGATGGATGTGTTTGTTTATAACATTTTTAGTCTATTTCAACAAATATCGTGAGAAAAACAAGACATATGTTGAAGTAAATCACATTTTATTAAAATTTAAACAACATTTGTGAATTTTGATACTTTTCACCTTGGTTCATTCGTTTGAAATTTTAATTAGTTATAAAATATTTTTATGATGTAAAATAATTATATATTTTATGTTGGGTTGGGTTTTTACTTAAAAATATTGCCAACCCGACCCAACCAATTAGAAACAAACCGTAGGGTTTAATTTTTTTTGGGTGGATTTGGGTTTGATATTTCCCAAACCGTAGTGCATTGGTCGAGTGATTAAAATGACTAAACCCGAACCACCCGACCCATGTACACCCCTACTTTCTTCCCTTGCACCCCAATTTGGGTAAGCCGAAATAGTAGATTTGCACCCCCTACTGTTACAAATTAACCAAACAGGTGCAAATACCTTGAAAACTGTGTTTACCCCTCCCCTTTGCAACTCTTCCCAAACATAGTGTAAAGTTGCCGTTGACTTCAACGATTGAGTTGGACTCATCAGAGTTTACAAAGACGGCTCGGTCTGGCGCTCCACTCTAGAAAACCTCGGAACCATCGACGGCGACGGCTAACGTTTAATAGAAAATAATATGATTTTTCAGTAAGGTGGTATCTAGGCGGAGACTGTATTTTCACTGGCCAAACGTTATTTCTAACCGTAAATTTTTCAGGACAGAAATGTCATGAAACTCACATATATTGTGCTACCATTATCATATCCAATACTCAGGGATGACAAAAAAACCTTTAATTGTAGGTATCCAACCGAATTCGAATTGATTTTGTTGGCGAAAATGCAACATGTATTATCTTTGGGTAGGTTTTTCTAGAACCATACAAGGAGGGTAATGAATTTGGTGCGATTTTGGTATTTTACCTATTCGCACCGAACCCGTCCAAATATTTGTTATAACTATGGTCTAGACTCATTCAATTAACACTTCGGTCTTCCGTATCCCTAAAATATTATCCAAAAAATCTTACTAGTTTTCTATTAATTTTATAAACAATATTGCAAATAACTTCAAATAACATTAAAATTTTAAAAGAAATTTACATTATATAAAGAACTTTATATATGATTGTTCGAGAATTATGTGGGAAGGTTTTCTCCAAACCAAATACAAATTAATTATGATATGTCATATTACGTCCACACATTTATGATTACCGGAATAGTTACAATTTTAAAACATTACTTTATACATATTATACAGAAAAACACGTTCCCACACAATCTCATCCTACCAAATCCAATACTTCATGATAGTTCGAGTGTCCATATCCTACCAATTCCAATGCTTCATGATAGTTCGAGTGTCCACTTTCAAAGGAATAAATATAAATAATTAATAAATGTATTCTCTTTTAATTTCGTCGGTTGATACTACTAACTCTGAGTTGTTGTGACTTGTGAGAGATTCAACAATGAATTTTATATCACTTACTAATTAACCGGCTTCTCAAACAAAAGCTACTACAAAAGCTACTAATTAAATATAAATAATTAATAAATGTATTCTCTTTTAATTTCATCGGTTGATACCACTAACTCTGATTTGTTGTGAGAGATTTAATAATGAATTTTATATCACTTACTAATTAAGAGGGTTTCTCAAACAAAAGCTACTACAAGAGCTTGAAGTTTGCACGGAGCTGAATACCCTATTTTTAACAAATGGGGGTTTACCGCAGATTCGAACACAAGACCTCCCAACCACAAAAGGCTCTAATACCATGTAATGAACTAGTTGGTCCCAATAACTCGAGTTGTTGGGAGAGGTTCGTATATGTATCTTAATTCTTAACCACTTCCATACACTCTCTGTCAAACGAAAGCCAATTCCTGGACTTGAAATTTGCACAGGCCTGCCATACCATGTGATTTTAAGACAACAGTTACTATTGAGGGTCATGAGGACTTGAACACATGACCTCAAGGACAAACCAACTCTGATACTATGTCATAAGTCAACTGGTCCCAATAACTCGAGTTGTTGAGACAAGTTCAATTATGAATCATATACTATTTACTAAGACACCCCCCACAAACGAAAGCCAACTCATATGGGTTTGAATTTTGCACAGATCGGGATACCATGATCCCAATAACTCGAGTTGTTGAGAGAGATCCAATAATGAGTCTTATACCACTCACTAACACACCCACTCAATACGAGAATACCATGTGTTTCACAAATGAGGTTACCGTGATTCGAACACAAGACCTCCCGACTACAGAAAGCTCTGATATCATGTCAAAAAACAACGAAAGCCACTCACAAAGGGTTTGAAGTTTGCACAAGAGCGAACACCCTGTGCTTTAACAAACAAGGCTATACCGAAGATTCAAACACATTACCTCTAGATCACAAAAGACTCTTATAACATATTTAGAACCAGTTGATTTCCAATAACTCGAGTTGTTGAGAGATATTAATAATAAATTTATTACATATGCCACTTATACTAATAGCCACCAACGAATCATTCCTCCAAAATTTCGTCTGCATATACAATATCTCATCTATATAGGAACACAATAAGGTCAACCAAATGCTGGCCGCCGGCAGCCAACAAGGCCAGCCAAAAATCTACGTTGCTATAAATAGATGATCGATTACTCCCCCATTCGTCGCACAATTCTCCCTCTCTCAAAGTCAACCTCCTCCCCCCAACACCAAAAGTCAAAACAACCTCAACAATGCCCAAACCTCCCGCCGTTGACTTCGACGACTGCGTGGGACTCATCAGAGTCTACAAAGACGGCTCCGTCTGGCGCGCCAATCTAGACAACCACCCGACCGCCACCGACGACGACGAAGACGGCTCCGTTCAGTGGAAAGATTACGTTTTTAACCCTAAGAACAACCTTTCCCTCCGCCTCTACAAGCCCTCCGCGGCCGCCGCCGCCGCCGCCAAACTCCCCGTCGTCTACAACATCCACGGCGGCGGCTTCTGCATCGGCTCCAGGACCGAGCCGTACCACCACGGCTGCTGCCTCCGTCTCGCCGCCCAGCTCCGGGCGGTGGTGGTGTCGCCGGACTACCGCCTGGCGCCGGAGAGCCGGCTCCCCGCCGCGATCGAGGACTGCCACTCGGCTCTGGAGTGGCTCCAGCGTCGAGCCGCGGCTGGAGACGACACGTGGCTGAGTGACGTGGCGGACTTCGGGAAGGTGTTTGTTTGCGGGGAATCGGCGGGAGGCAACGTCGCTCATAACTTGGCGGTGAGGGTCGGATCCGGGTCGCCGGAGTTGGGTCCGGTTAAGATTAGGGGCTACGTGGTGTTGTCGCCGTCTTTTGGAGGCACGGTGAGGACCAAATCGGAAGTTCGGACTCCCAAAGTTCAGATGCTGACCCTTGACATGGTTGACTGGTACGTATAACATCTTCCATATTACTTGAAACCAAACTCACGGGTACCAACCCGATTCAACCGGTCAAATTGAGTAAAAATTGAGTATTGATGACGGGTTTTGGATCGGTTGTGAGTTTCACACCTGCTTTTGAAACAGGCAGCGAGTTGGGCTGGGTTTGGATTTTTAAAAAATCCAACATGCGCTAGCTTTCCACTCGACCCGCGTTCAAAACGACGCCATTTTGTATTTAACATGGACAATATGGATAATTTATGAATGTTTTTTTTTTGTCTTTAATTATGTCTCCATAGAACATGGATAATTTAGGGATGTTATTATGGAGATATATTTGTTGAATCATTTTTTAAATAATATTGCGATATTGGTTGGGTTTGCTCGTCTAAAAAATCCGGTTGACCTACTGGTTGAGTCTGGGTTCAGAGAAACGCGACCCAAACCAATCCATTGTCATCCCCCTAGTGACATCCTGACAGCTTGAAATCAGTTCGCCTATTTCTGTCCGAACCTGTCTAACTCCTCGACGCTGCGCGAGTCTATAACGATCGAATCATTTTGTCGAACCGTTTGAAATTTCAACCGGTTGGTTCTGGCTAAACTAATGGCATTTGCTTATAACCGGTTGAAGTTTCTGATTCATTTCTTTTTGGATCCGCATGCATGCATATATCACATATGTCGTGGTTACCCATTGTTTTGAAGGTTTTGGAAATATTCGATCCCAGTTGGAGACACGTGCGATCATCCGTTGGTCAACCCGTTTGGACCCGGGACCGAACTGGTTGGACCGGTGGAGCTGGATCCGATCCTTGTGGTTTCGGGTGGAGGCGACATTCTGGTCGATCGCATCAGAGACTACGCCGAGAAGCTGAAAGAGCTGGGGAAGAGAGTTGAGTATGCAGAGTTTGAAGGAGAGGTGCATGGATTTTTCACCTACGATCCAGAGTCGAAAGCGTCGAGGTCGGTGATGGATCTGATTAGGAAATTCGTCACCGAGAATTCGAACTGAATAATGCTCTAATTGTTTTTTTTTTCTTTTTCCAAAGAAATTAGTGTCGGTTGGGTTTCATGCAAAATTGAGTTCATCGTAACTGGTTCCTTTCACTTCTGGCGATCATTGTGTTTAATTTGGTCCCCTTTCTGTATCAGTTCTATGCATTATTCATTTTGTTATTCATCCGCCATTAAAGAAAATGTAACTGTGGGCTTTGGTGATTCTATCGTGAAACTCTTTTTTTGTTGGCTCCAATAATTTGAATTATTGGGAAAGGTTCAATATGAACCATAATAGACTTACTACCGGTCTAACACACCCCGTCAAATGACAAGCACTATATGGACTCGAAGTTTACATAGATTCAATAACCATATGCTTAAAAGAACATATAAGATCATCATATTTCAAACAGAAGATCAATCACAAAAAGATCATACACCAAGTAATCGATATATAAAAATAGTCAAAATAAAAACTGAATTAAAACCGAGACGAAATTTACACGATTTCCTCCTTCCGAATGAACAAGACAAGACTAGTCTACGGTCAAACGGCTCTGGAATGGCTTCGAGATCAAGCCTTGGCTGGAGAGGGAACGTGGTTGAGTGAGGTGGCGGATTTTGGTGAGGTGTTCGTTTCAGGGGATCGGGGGGAGGTACCATTAGGACTGGGAAAATAGATCAGATCGTTTGAAAAATCATGGACCAAATCAGACCGTACAGTTTGGTTCGGACCGTAGATCATTAAGAATGGTCTGGTCTGGTCCATGATTTGTATTATATGATGTCTTGATCTCATGGGCTGGCCTGGTCTAGACCGTGGTTTATCGAACCAAACCGTGGACCCAATCGACTTCCCAATACGTGTTAGTAGCCCACTCGACCACTTTCCCGATTCCTCCCAACAATACCCAAGCCTCAACCCTAATTTTGAGAAACCCGCCCCATTTCTTTCACAACCACTTTCAACTGAGAGTAGAGACGATCATTATTCATATGACATTATGTTAATGTTTATGACGTTATGGTGCAAGTTGGTATGCTTTGACTTTGTATTTTTGTTGTTTATATAGATTTAAGGCGTCAAAATTCTTCATGCATGTTGGAGTTTATGTTTTAACGCAAAAAAACATTTTTTTTCTCTATGATTGATTCAATTTTTTGTGTGGTTGACTAAACAAATGTTAATTTTTCGTTCATTGGGGTCTATCTAGACTAGACCGTACCGGACCATACCGCACAGACGTGGTTTGGTCTGGATCATATAATTCATGGTCTGGTCTCTGATTTATACTTCAGTCTCTCGATCTGTACCATAGATCACATATATGACCTGGTCTGAACCAAACCGCATCGTTTTCCAATCCTAGGTACCATTGCTCATAAGTCATAACTTGCTTGTCAGGCTTCGGGCCGGGTCGCCTGAATTGGGCTCGGCTGTGGTTAAGTGATATATGTTATTGGGCCCCTTTTTGGAGGGACGGTGAGGACCAAATCGGAAACTGAGGCTCCCAAAGATCGGATCCTGGACCTCGTTGACTTGTACACATTTGATGGTTCAAAGTTTGGTGTTTGGTGTGTCTTTGAGAAAATCATATTTTTGTTAGTTTTATCGTGTTTCTTTTTATGCTAGTATGAGTGAATTTGGCTAAAGTATTCGTGGAGTTAAGTGCAAGGATGTGTTTACTTTCTTGGATTGTTTTTTTTTTTCCTGCAATCCAACGATTGTTGCCGGTGTCAGTCATATATAGCAAGCATATCCTTGTACCAACTAAGGATACTGATCAAATCGAACTTGAGTAGCTACTAAAATCCGATTAAACTACATGATCATAACAGATTAATTCTGTTGCAATTGTGTGGGTTTGTCGTAGGGCTGGCTATTTGGACCGGGACCGGATGAAAAACCGGAAATCGGACCGTATAACCCGGATCGAGACCGGACCGGGACCGGATAGTAAACAATCCAATCCAATTTTTGGGTTTAGATTTGAGCTAAAAAACCAGATAAAGACCGGATAAGAGAGCTCCACACCCAAAACTTAAGGGTAATTTGCATAAACGGTCACAAACTTTTGCACTTAGTACAAAACTTAACCAACTCCTCACCCTTTTAGGCCTTAGGCCACTCAAATTCCCACAATCTCAATATAAAATCAAGACCGAATTGGGACCGGACCGGGTCAAGACCAGACTGTATCAATCCAATCTTCGGTCCTTATATTTTCAAAAAAACCGGACTGGACCGGATCAATTTGGGCCAATTTAACCGGACCGGACTGTATAGCCACCCCTAGTTTGTCGGATAACAATTTCTCCAATTGTGATGTCACGATGGATAAGTGGTTTATTGGATTAAATAAGAGCAGACGAGTAGTGAAAATTAGGAATGGTTACCCAGGAACTTTAGCCCCACGTGCCACTTTGTGACAGCGGGTCCTACTAAACCTGGGGCCACCTCGCTTGGATTCGAACCTGAGATTTGCAACTCCCAATCCTTCACTGTCGCGACAAATTTACCGTTAAACTATCTTACTTTGGTATAAAATTGGTTGATTGAATTCAATAGTAACGAAGAAACTAAAACATCATTTCTGTTACTTCTAGTTTTTATATTGCTTTAACAACCAAAACACGGCTATTGCATGATGTGCTTTATTCGGTCTTTTTATTTTCTTTAAAAATCTCATCTAAATTGTTAGTTGCATATTTCTATGTGCCTGTCAAATATGAAATGATAAGTGTTTAGTGAAAAATTATTAGCTTCAATTGAATGCAGGGCTCCAATCAGCCACATGTACGTTTCTTATTAGTGAGTTCATCTTTCTTTTTAATATTTTAATTCTTGATTTAGTTACGATAATTAAGAACATTAAATATTAAAAAAAATGAAGGTAAATCTACCAATAACAAACTGATACGTGAATCATAGTTGGAGTTTCTGAGTCCAACCAAGATTGATGGTAAGAATTTTCCGTGTTTAGCATCATAGTAAATTAAATTCACTCATAGTATATAAAGGAGGGCGGCCTCAAATAATCAACTTAGTTGTTTCAATATTCAAGCAAGCAAATAAATATAGCTCGCCGGCAAAAAAGACCGGTCAACAACTTCAAACGCCGGCCGTGCCGGAAACTACCTATAGACCTAAGTCGATATCTGTGTATATATATATCTATCTTCTATATCTATCTATCTATCTATATCTATCTATACTATATATTATGGCAATTCAAAAATAACTTCTTGCCACATAAGCACTTGGAGAAATAACAAGTTGCCTAGGTGGACATTTTTTTTATTACCAAAAAAATTTATTATTGATCTATTTATAAAGTTATCTCTCTCTTCTTTTAGTATTTATGCTCACTTTTACTCAACATTAATAATAAGTTACATTAAGAATGTAAGTAAAAACAAGCATAAATAATAATATTTTTGTCAATTAAACAAAATATAAAGATGGAAACAAAGAATAACATTTATATATAGGGTTTGTTTAAACAAAATATATATAATTAAATCTTATCAAATAAATTATCTACTCATTTTAACCAAAACGTAATAATAAGTTACATTTTGATGAAAAATTTAAAGAAATACACACATAAATAATAATATCTTTGTATATTAAATAAAATATAAAGACACAAATAGATAAATTAAGCGTTTGACAATCAATCGACTTTGAAAAATGAAATATATGAATTTATATATTAAAGCTTCTCTTATTATACTTCTTTATAATATACATGTCTACCAGTTAAAATAGTTGTATATAAATAATTATCATATATATAAAATAATTATCAGAATATAACTTGGTCGAAAAACAATAATAATTTCTTAAAAAAATTTCTATTCATCCCGATTAAATGAAAACATATATTAATGTTCTACCTGAAATTTCTCAAAGGAAGAGTAATCATGTGCAATATTTTATAATTTGGTATAAGTTCACATTAAAATATTTGATTTAGATGATTTGGTTGAGCATGCTCAATTGAGGTCATAAATAATATTTTAATAAATTTTCTTTCGGATTTAGAGTTATTGTCGAGGATTATACATCAAAGTTTTCAAAATGACTTAAGTATGAGTTTTGACAAACTTTGACTTCACACCATAAAATGAGACACAATATATCTTAAAAAATGACACATGTGATTTGGTTGGCAATAATAAAACTTTTTCAATATCAAAGTATCAAATAGGAATTTTCAATTTTGTAACAGTAAGCAAGTTGTATTTACAATAAATTTGTCTACAATACATCCAAGAATTCACATGTATGTGAAATGTCACAATATTTGTATGAATTTTTAAAAGTTTATAAAAAATTCAAAAAATTATAAATCATCATTACTTAATCTTATAGGAATTTCAAACTAAATTAGTGTCATAGCAACAAATGGCCAGCTCTCACCCTTCCATAGTGGACAAGTTCTAATTCTTGCTTATATAATTTTTTGTTTACTCTTTAAATTGCCATTATTATAAACAAAACGTAAAATAAAGTGCAATATTTTGATTTGTTCCTATTCCTTTTCTCATACAAATTATCTCTATAAAAATAAAGTGCAACATTGAAAATAAAGAAATTGGATCAAGCCACATAAAAACAAACAAACCTCTCTTCTTATTTCCTCAAAATCCTAAGATTTCTAGCATTTCTTTTCTCTACTTTTTTTCAAATAGATACAGGAAAGGAAATAGTAAAGCATATTGAGTTTTTACTCTTTGTAAGAGAATATGTGGGTGGAGTTACATGAGACAATGATTAGATGTGATACAATTGAGCATCTGTAACATATGTTTGACGATTGACTAAAAAAGTTCATCCTATCATTGCGAAGATGAATTGAATGAAGTCGATGATTGCTCATTGCTCCCTCTTCACCCTTAATTTGTAGTTGACAATTGGTCTCTTTTTCCTAGAGATATGTGGTTGTTTGCGGTTGACTGGCCATATTAAACTCTTCTTTCCATTTGTTTCTTAATTTCTTCCAGATT